CTCTCTCTCTCTCTCTCTCTCTCTCTCTCTCTCTCTCTCTCTCTCTCTAACCGGACCACTCTTTCTACAACCATACCACACAAACACAATTATTGGTGTTCTCCATCTTCTTCCCATCAACCCTTTTACAGATGGGTACAACAGTGCCATAACCCAAAAACTGAAGAATACATATCCATTTCAAAGTATACAGATATGAAAACTCTTCATCTTCATCAGATTTTGACGTCAATGTTAACGCAATTTAAATTCTGGCAATCATTTTCAGAAGTCCTTGAAGAACAGCAGCCAAATGAACGCCATAAACTCCGATCAACCAAAGCTTTTCGTTTCTCCACCATTCTTCTAAATCAATCCTTAAACATAGAAATGATATGAAATACACTGAAAAAATTGAATTTTTAGAAATTGATTGTTCTTGAAAACCCATTACCCAGAAGCATTTTTAGATTCCAAAATCGATGTCCAGTTCTAGAAACAAATCCAAAAATTCGATTATTCTAGAAGAGACAACCCTGAAAATTGATTGTTCGTTTGTGTGTGTATGTGTTAAAGAGGAGTTGTATACTCATCTGTGACCCCCACTGCAAATCATCGATGGGTTCAGACATGACTTTGACTCATCGGTCGACCATAAACCGTTCACCACCACTCATCGATACATTTAACTGGGATTAGGGTTGAGAAGGAGATGCAGGTGTAGATCAACAGAAAAGCCTACATCCAGATCTAAATTCGTCATCGGAGTTTGAATGTAGGTCTTGACCCAGTTTGGGTTTAAATTCTCTCATCGTCTTTGTTGATCCAGTTGGTCGCTACTTCCCCGGTGTACAAACAGATCGGTGGCGTCGTCTTTGTTGATCCAGTTAGTCGCTACTTCCCCGGTGTACAAACAGATCGCTGGCGTCTGAAGGTTATCAGGCGGCATCTAGCGGCGGACGGTGTAGGTGAATGGTGGTGGCAGTCGGGGTGTTCTTGAGAGAGTGAAAGAGATGTAAGAGGGGTAGAAGAGATGAGAGGTACCACCGGTGATGTGTGTGTGTGAGAGAGAGAGAGAGAGAGTATATGTGTGTGTGAGTGAGAGAGAGTGACAGAGGGATAATGGGATATTCTGTAATTTTTAATTACTAAAAATCATTAACATTAATAAAAAAAAACAATAAGAGGGGCATAATCGTCTTTTTAAGTGGCTAGGGACCAAAACCGATAAAAATATCCAATTTTGGACCACTGGTGCACCAACGTTTCGTTTTGGACCAAAAACACATAAATTTGCCAACCACA